ATGATGTGATATTTACCGGCAGATGACATATTGACCGGGGCTATCACTATTCAATGACACACTAGTCAATAATTGTTTTATTACATGAATAGGCTATAAGAATCTTAAAAAATCACAGAAAGTACAAACATATACATATACAACTTTTGTCTGTTTCGTTGAAGCGGGAAAAAAAGACGTTCGTGTCAGGCGTGCAACAACTAAGCGAACTCTGCGCATACAAACGTAATTCAAGTTTATAATCATCATTGCGGTGCAACCTTTAACTATAATAGTAAATTTATAAGAATATGATACTTCATGCAGTGAATATGATTCTATGAAAGGTTCTGTTGACTACTGTTTTGACCAATGAGATTGCAGCATACTTAGATCATATAATAATGATATTTATTAGAAGCCGCGTGCATACATTTGTCCGTACAGTAATGGGGACAATTTAAGACTAGATTTTGTGTATTTTGTTTCGTTTAAACAAAATCACAGTTTTCAAATTTTCTACTAAAAATTAGCTGTTCTGATATACAACATGTCACAGAGTTTTAAAGGATAAGAATAAACGTTTAACTGAAGTGATAGTGCCATGTTTGAATATCATTTTCTTTTTATCAGTATCTAATTTTATTTACATAATAGATAACGCGCCAATGAGCCAGTCTATAGTCGATCGTTCTAAAACTTAACCGTTGAGAGAGGTTACGACTGAGGCAGTGCCCCTTACTTCATTTGCTCCGCCTCTGATGAAGTTCGGCTCCGCCTTAAATTGTCGCCAAATTTAATACGCTAGCATTAATTCTTCGTTGACGAGCGGAAGGGAACCATGACAACTTTGATCAATATCACTTGTCGAATCATTAAATTACAAGTTTCAAAGCCTTAACCAAGCCCACTATCAGAGAACCCCTCAACCGTTAAGAAAGGACGCCAAACTCCGGTTACGCTACGGCCAGTAAGGGGAGATCACTGCAGAACAGATCGTCCTCAAATTCATTTGAACATTATGCAATTCGTACCAAATTGCGGCAATATCTAAATGGACGTTTTCTCGGCCCTTATTGTCTTAAATATATTTTAATTAAACCAATCATTTCAATTTTACTCGTTATCCAATTTATTTGCCTTCAACCAGACGTTTCAATCTTTGTCGCAACAGATAAACATTTCAGAATTTCAGACATGACATTACTTTGTGAATTTATGCATTAGGTTCTACTTTTGTACTAAAATATGCAACTTAATTATAAAACAAGAAGCACATACCAAGAACATGGAGAAAAAATGATTTGTGCTTCGGATATTCAACTGTAATAGAGAACGATTTTCAATGCTGATGACCGTTCACATTATTTGGCGGCGTTTTTGATGTGCATACATTTAACTTGTTCTTTGACTGAAACTTATTTGCACGCACTTCTCAGAATGCGCGAAATGCTAATTTCATTTCAAATATTCTAATGTAAAAAGGCTACTAGTATTTTTCTGTTCAATTTCATTTTTGAATACATTTCTTATCTATATCTGATTTTGAAAAACAACGAGCTGATTATCATGTGTCATTTTTTCTTATCAAACGCACACTTTGGAAGAACTCGTTTATATAACTGCAACTAAACATATACTCTTGAAAGGAACTTTTTAATTACAGAAATGTATATACTGAGAAACATGTTTAACTGCTTCAAAAACATTCATTTCATATTTTTTATCCGAGAACAACAGTAGCAGGAATGCCCTCTTGCAAAAGAAATCCGGCAAATGTGCTGTAATTTGCTCCAGCCATTGAAACATCAAGATCTATATTTTGAACGCAGACGTCATCTCCTTTAGTGAGTTGCAGAATAATTGTCTGGCTTGTAGTGTCATATCCGGCCTCACCACCACTTACATAGAGTCGACTTACTGGCTGACCATTCTTGTAGAACATGACATGCGCATTGGCATGATACAATGACATCAAAGTCACTGAAAACACATACGTACCGTCCAAAGGAGCAACGAAGTTTCCATTGTGACTGTTGTATGCACTACCAAGATTCGTTATGGCATTGTCGAAAACAAATGTTTGGTGGGCTCCAGCATGTGTTACGTGGTTAGTTATAGCGGCGAAGAAAGCGATTGGGTCCTCAGGATTTTGACGACGAATTCTTTTGTTAATCACGTCATCTAAAGAAAGATTTGTAAGAAACAATATAGCAACAATAAAGAAATACAGTTACGGTTATATGGCACTAAGGTTCACCTACAGTGTCAATACCGTTATTTGTAATTTAACGCATATATATTACATAGCACGACTGTTTAAACATAACTTCTATATTGATTATCAGTAAAATGACTCAAAACCTTCATTCAAATATAAAAGATCAAATATGAAAAAAATCAACCAGTTTGTTTGATGGTTAATCAATCAATAAATCAATCCAGAAATAAATAAATAAATAAATCAAATAATGATAAAATGTTAACAGCAAAACGAATAGCAATACAATTAATATTAACTGATAGTGTATTTCAGGAATTTCATAAAGTGCGTGATAAGATTATTTGTTGATTTAATACCTTTAATATTTCTAGAAGTTGTAGCTTTAATATTTGCGGCATCATTGTTATCATTTTCAAAGTTGAGCTCCTCCGTTTGAATTTTTCTTGCAAAGCATGTACAGCTTTTACGTTTGAGAAGACGTTCCAGATAAGTTGCACGTTGTCCTTGATCACGAAGTTGTTGGCCAAGTTGGTGAACCTCAGTTTGGAGCTCTTTTTCCCTTGTCTCCAAGTATTTCATGCGACCTAGTAGTGATTGTACAAGTTTATCATTCTCTTCCAGACGCTCAATTAGTTTAGCATTTATATCAGTAACAACGGAGCTTTGTCCTTGACTTTCTCCCATAATATTTGAAGCCAAACAAATGGCAAATATGTTGTAAAGAGTTATGTATATACCAATATCCATAATTATGCGTTAAACTATTCAACTACCTCTAAGTTTTACAACAAAAATAAGGATCAAAGTTAACATTTTTATAGATCTAGGTTATCACTTAAATAAGCCATAAATGGAATAAATGTTAAGATAATAAAATTGCCTATTCATGTTAAAAGTTTAAATGTAAAGTCATCACCATCTGAAATAAGCATTATATATATTTTACCAAGTTATGATTACTATGCAATACAAGCATATTTCTAAATTTGGTATGGAATAAAATGTACAAACAGGGCGAGAATGTTGCGGCATTGCCACAACAACAGTGTTTGAACATACAAAACTGCATCAAACCTGTTTTATTTAGCAAGACAAGAAGCGCCGCAATGCGACGAAAACCAGGTTTACAACGACCAAATTTTGATGTGACAGCAATCAATAGGTCAAAGTACACTGAAGTTAATGAGTAGAAGCTGAAAATTCTATTGTAAGCAAATGACCTTGAACTTGCTCCCAGATATCTAAGTAGCAATCCAAAGCTGCCACTCAGCAAGTTTATTGTCAAAAGGTCAAAGCAAACTCAAGTTATAACATGAAAACTAAACACATTAACCTTGATCACAGACACCTGGGTAGCAATCCCAAGCTGCCTCATTATATAAGCTACCCATTCATCAAGTTTGGTGTCAAAAGGCAAAATCAAACTCAAGTTATTTAGCGGAAACTGAATTTCTATTTTTAATAACAGTGACCTTGACCTTAATCACAGACACCTGGATAGCAATCCCAAGCTGCCTCTTGATATAAGCTATCCATACACCAAGTTTGGTGTCAATAGGCCAAAGCAAACTCGAGTTATTGAGATGAAACTGAATTTCTATTTTTAGTAACAGTGACCTTGACCTTGATAACAGACACCTGGGTAGCAATCCCAAGCTGCCTCTTGATATAAGCTATCCATACACCAATGTAGGTGTCAATAGGCCAAAGCAAACTCAAGTTATAGAGCGGAAACTGAATTTCTGTTTTTAGTAACAGTGACCTTGACCTTGATCACAGACACCTGGGTAGCAATCCCAAGCTGCCTCTTGATATAAGCTATCCATACACCAAGTTTGGTGTCAATAGGCTAACGCAAACTCAAGTTATTGAGCGGAAACTGAATTTCTATTTTTAGTAACAGTGACCTTGACCTTGATCACAGACACCTGGATAGCAATCCCATGCTGCCTCTTGATATAAGCTATCCATACACCAAGTTTGGTGTCAATAGGCCAAAGCAAACTCAAGTTATTGAGCGGAAACTGAATTTCTATTTTTAGTAACAGTGACCTTGACCTTGATCACAGACACCTGGGTAGCAATCCCAAGCTGCCTCTTGATATAAGCTATCCATACACCAAGTTTGGTGTCAATAGGCCAAAGCAAACTCAAGTTATTGAGCGAAAACTGAATTTCTATTATTAGTAACAGTGACCTTGACCTTGATCACAGACACCTGGGTAGCAATCCCAAGCTGCCTCTTGATATAAGCTATCCATACACCAAGTTTGGTGTCAATAGGTCAAAGCAAACTCAAATTATTGAGCGGAAACTGAATTTCTATTTTTAGTAACAGTGACCTTGACCTTGATCACAGACACCTGGGTAGCAATCCCAAGCTGCCTCTTGATATAAGCTATCCATACACCAAGTTTGATGTCAATAGGCCAAAGCAAACTAAAGTTATTGAGCGGAAACCAAAAGTTGACGCCCGCCCGCCCGCCGACTTCGGCATTACAATAACCCGGTTTTCGTTGAAAACCTGGTTAATAACAAACTATGGTGCTATTCTTTCTATTCTGTAATTAAGTGTATAAATGAATGAGTATTTCCCTTTTTGACGTCTTCTAACATGAAGCATTTTTCATTTTCCCTTGCATAGCAAAACTTTAACAGCAGTCACTATAGTAATCGATTTCGTTTGATAAGTAATAGAAAGAGCACCGAAACACGAGGTTATCTGATTTGTACGAGGGGGCGTAGCCCCCGAGTATTAATCAGATTACCGAGTGTTTTGGTGTTCTTTCTCTTTTGTATCATAGTCAAACATAAAAACACGTTCCCTGTTGTAACAATATGAAACCCCGGCAAAAATGAACCAATGAACGAACATCTGAATATGATATTTCTGTCGCTTTCCCTTTCTCTGCCGTCACAATATGTAAACCCCAGCAAAAATGAGCCAATCAATGGGCATGCTCTGGAGTGCGGGTAACTAATACCCGCACTCCAGTTAACGCACTGTTCATGTATATGTATACGATTTAACCCTGACACATTTTCAACAAAAAGGTCTCCAAACTATGATACAAGAGATTGTTTGATCACTTTAACTCTCCGTTTTCAGCGGTCATGGCTTCAGTAATGTGATAAGTAGACGCCACCACGTTATAGGCATTTGATTGTAAGGCAAAATATCTGGTTGTAGAGAAACTTCGTATTTTCTGGCCTACAATGTCATCTACTTATTTATTACGGATTGGTCCATGATTAAACTTTACAACACTGTACGGCAAATGGCGCTAGCCCAAAACTAGGTCGTCTTATGACCGCACGACATACATGTATACTCTAGTCCGCTAGAGAAAAATAAACTCGGACCCTACCGTTACCTACCAATTTATCAAATTTCAAAGCAAACTTAAACACGCGACAGTTTCGAGACATACCTTTACACCTTTAAGCGAATATACGGTGCAAAGAACGCCAAAATTTCTTCATTGTATAACACCTTTCTCATCTTGCATATTGGTGTCGGCCTGGTGAATGTTCGTACTCTTTGTTCTATAGTAAATCAGTCACGTTTGAGGCTTAATTCTGGATTCCACTGTTCTTGGTGAATTATATACTGTCTTCAACTTTAAACATCAACACTATCTAAGTCAAATGAGGCCAAAATATAATAGGTTAGCCATCTACTTTTTTCAGAAATCTTCATTCTGTTGTAACACAGTTTAAATTCACCACTTTAAAAACTCCTGGTGGGTGGTACATCTTTAATCCTTCCGCCAACAAATGAGTTTCTGGAGAATACACAAAAAACAACTTTTTAACTCATCATGTAACACACAAAAACTACACACATGCAATAAATACAATTTAATTATGACCAATCTAACTAGAGATGACTTAAATTGGGCCACTTCAAAATTTTAAAGAACTACTTTCTAGACTACAACGAGTTGGGTCTAATTCCGTAACGGGTTGAGACCATATTAAGACTGTTACACCTATGCTTAACAGCCCGTTTTACACCTTCGTGTAATGCATAGATCCCTGACCTGTGTAACTCTAATTATCAGATTTGTGGATATATAAATAATTTCACCACAACCTATTTCGTCGCCCTATTCTAAAAATGGTGTATCTACAATTTCCTCTTTTTTGGGAAAAAAGGGGTTAAAGGTTTAAGACGTTGTAACTTTTATTTAATAACTCCTAACAGTGTGGAATTCTGGATTGGTATTATAGATGTCAACATGTGATAAAAGCACTTTGTTATATACCTTTATAATTTGCAGTAACTGTAAAAATTAAAAAAAAAATTGGAGATAGACCAAAAATGTTTATTTTTAGATTAAAAAATTACTCTAAAAATGAGTTTGCAGAGGTATGACAAAGTAAGGCTAAAATTGTAAATACTTTTTGAGTTAGCATTTTTAAGAGTAATAATTTTACTATAGAATATTAGTAGATTTTTACATTCTAAAGAACATTTTCAGCCAGAGTGGTTGAACCGCTGACACTGAATCACTTTATCTTCGTAAATTACTATGTCAAAGTGTAAATTCATTCACGTGATCTCCAACGTGGGCCTTTCTCGATAATAACAATATAAAATTGTGCCATAAAAAAAGAAAAACAAACATTTTACAAAATTTTTAATCAATGAACTTGCTAAAACAAACTGACATATTTTGAACCATTATGAAAAATGAAATGATTGTAACCATCTCTAATATTGTGATTAAATGATACAGATATAAATTATATTATCATTTCATTTCATTTTATTGGCAAATCGGCAAATAAACATTACCTTTGGCCATTAACAGAGTATCATGAAAAATATGGCCAAAAGTTAAATAGTTACAAACATTACATCATACAATATATAACAAAAAAAGTACAAGAATGAAACTAATTAAGAAGCAGTTACATCTTCAAGAGACTGTTGCCTCAACTTAAATGCATTATGAACATAGTGAGCACATTTAAGAATAAGCTTTTTGTTATTAGTGGACAATATAGTCGAAAATGTTTGTATAGTAGGCCATGAAATGTTTCCTAAATATTTGGTTCTTATAACAGTATAAATTGGACAACATAAAAGGAAGTGGTATTCTGATTCAATAGAGTTATATATACATAGTTTACATTTGCGATCGTTTCTATCAATGTTAAAATGTTACCATTAATTCTTTTTTATTCACACAATTAAAGTCAATACCACATGCATTCAAAGTCTCAAGTATTGTTTGTGGTTTAATATCAACGTATGAAAAAATATCTGCTCAAGTTCTGAACAATCTTTCAAGATTGCAAAATCATCGTTTTCAAGATTTTACATCCAGTGAATTTTGCGATCTCCCATATTGGTTTTTGTCGCACAACGTAGATACTGGACATTCCATGAACAGGCTAAATCAAACCGAGCCGGCAACATTTTAGATCATGCCGTGTTGTGCTTTAAGAATTCTGCTATTATCTAATAAATATAATCATTGATGACCCGGAGAACACTGAAACTCGCATGCAAATTTAAAATCTATGTTTTGACAAGACAGTGGTATTCCGATCCCATTGGAATGTTAAATATCTATTTATTTTGTGAATATTTTAAGACTTGAAACAATGATTTATCTGAAACTGATGGCAAGTCAAAACTTCCCCACAGACTTGATGTTGTTGATATAAAATTCCATAGTTTTGTGGAAGTTCTGCTAACTGCAGTCACAAGTTCTAAGAGACAACATTTCTGTAAGGACAACGTCTGATAATGTAAGTAAGTCTGACCTGAAATGGACAAAATATTATCATAAAC